TGAATGCTTGCCTGTAGCGGGGCAGTTACCCCCCTCCTGAAAGAAAAGAAGACTAGGCTGATTGGGGAAGCAGCCACAGCTGGGGCCACGCCCCAATCAGGCCACACCTGGCCCTGTTATAAGGGCCCAGGGAGGGGCTGGGAAGAGTCTCTCTCTCTCTGGAGAGAGATGAACCTAGCTGCCTGGGAGCAAGGTACCTGAAGCGGAGCAGTGCTGGGGAAGGGCAAAGCAGAGTTGGGGAGCTCCAGCCTGGTAAACTCCCAGGCTGGAGGCCTTGGTGAAGGCCTACGAAAGGTACTGGGGCTGCCCGAGAGGGGGCTAGATGATGACTGGCAGTAGCCACTGAGGCAAGGTGGGGGTTAGAGAGTTGGGGGTTCTCCTGGGATGGGAGATCTAGAGCGTGGGGTTACTGCTGGGGCAGAACCCCGAGGTAAAGGGGCACCGGGGTCCGGGAGGGACACGGGGCCTGAAGCAGGTGTCCTTGGCCTGAAGCAGGCGAGACACCAGCCAGAAGGAGGTGCTCTGAGGCTGGAAAGAGCTAATTCCCAGACGACCAGCAGGAGGCGCCACGCTGGTGAATCTCAACTCTTCTACATTGCCCAATCTTGTTGCCTGAAAACAAGATTTTTTTTTTCCAGTAAGTATCTGTATTGCCCCCTCCATACTTTTGTTCCATCTTCATTTCCATGTGTCTCATTTTATTGATAAGAGCAGGTAAAAAGTTAGCCACCCACATTATTTATCAAACTGGCTTTCTGAATTTATAATGGAAAATGTACTATAGAAATGTAATATATATGTACCCAATTTTGCAATCCATTCCTGTTTAAGGCAAATAGGAAACATGTCCACAGCTTTACATATACTAAAAATCAACCTATGAACCTTTATTCTCTCCAGATGTGGGAACAACGGGCAAGTCATTTCAAACTCTTCCTAAAGCTATTATTGCCTAGAGTCGCTCTCCTTTTAAGAAGCACAAATTCAGACTGAGTCCTCAACAACGAACAATAAACACTCTTTTCCCCTTAAAAAAAATGTACAACTTCTATCCGTACCCAACTATAAAATAACTGAAAGAATAACTGTCTTTCTGATTTCCATTCAATATAAAATACCAAGTTCATATTTAAAATGATTCAGGAAAAACACTACTATTTAAAGACCCTTTTAAAAATTATTGTTGCTAAATGACACCCCCACTTGCTCCGGAGAAATGGGTCTCAAAATCATCACATACTGAAACTCAAGAAACAGTCAGACATATGTCAGTATGCTCACAATATGAATCTATGCACCTAACTTTATCCACATTACTAAATTCGAACACAAGCATCACAAACAAGCACCACTAGACAACATGCATATAGTGCATGGACAGTGTCAGCTATAGAAGGAGAAGTTACTTACTGAAGGCTTGATCCTGCAGTGAGCTCTGAATGGCCAGGTCTCACCACTTGACAGAACTCATTGCAGGATAGGGAACTAACTGATCATCTTTGTGCGTGTTGCCCTCACAGACCCCCCCACTTTGGGAGACAAATGTCTTGCCTCAAGTCCAGGGCCATTTACCAGCAGTGACTGTTGCAGTCATGAGCTACACCTTACAGAATTTCACATGAGACTACAAAGGATCCTTTGGTAGCACAGTCAGGGACACGCTTGTGACAACAAGAAAGCAAGTTGTCCTTTAGTGCGTTAGTGATGGGGTCTGCACTTCTTCCCAGGCCAGCTTCTCCAAGGGACCCAAGAGATGGGGCATCAGGCTCAGAAATAGTCCAGAGCCAAAGCCAAGGACTTTGGGTCCATAAGGATGGAGAGGGACAGGGAGGTGTTGGGGCTATGGGATACAAAGCCCCTATCACTACGCGAGTAAGATACAGGACAAAGCCCCTCTGTGACACTAAATGCTGATCTGGCACCAACAGCGTACTTGGCTCAGGCCTGTGGGTTTAGAGAGAACTGAAAGCTTCCGGGTACCAGGAGCCTTGAACCTGTTTTGAGAGGATTCCCCAGTTGGGCTCATGTGCCCTTTATCAGCTCTCTTTAGCTACAGGGTCCTGCTGGGGACACAAAGGACGTCTCAGAGGGGAACTACTCTAGATCTCATTGGCCGGCTCTATCCTCCAGTGCCTTTGCAACATAGGCAGAGCAAGGGCTAGCGACGTATCCAGTGGTGGGCTGGAGCCAGTTCGCGGGAACCGGTTGTTAAATTTAGAAGCCCTTACAACCGGCCAAAAGTGGCACCTTAGGTGCTGACTCCGTGGGTGCTCCGGGGCTCGAGCACCCAAGGGAAAAACAGAATCAGCTGTTCGCGCAGGAAGCCTGGGAGGGCTGAGAAGCAGGCGGTGGCTTCCCACTCAGGCCCAGGGAGGCGGAGCAGAGGTGAGCTGGGGCAGGGGGGGCATGAGGAGGGCCACCCGTGCTGCAGCAGGTAACCCGGGGGGCGCAGGGGAACCGCTCCAGCTCACCTCCGCCACCCTCAGTCTGAGTGTGAAACTGCCGCCTGCTTCTCAGCCCTCCCCGGCTTCCCACGCCAACAGCTGATTCGCGGGAAGCCGGGGGGGGGGGCGCAGAGAAGAAGGGCGGGGTGGCGCGTTCCGGGGAGGAGGCGGAGCGGAGGTGTGCTGGGGCGGGGAGCTGCCGATGGGGGCTCTGCCTAAAGCGCCACTTTTGGGGGGAGCAGCCACTCCCCCTGCTCCCCCCCAGCTACGCTACCCTGCCCCCAGGAGCCAGAGGGACCTGTCGGATGCTTCCCGGGAGCCGCCCCAGGTAAGCACCGCCAGGACTCCCCACCTCACCCCTGGCAGGTCCCTCTGGCTCTTAGGGGCAGGGCGGGGTGGGCACCCACTACGGTGGCCCACGAGACCCTCCTGCCCGGTTCTGGGGCCAGTCAGGGGACAGGGATCCGGGGGGGGTGGCATCAAGGAACATGGGGGGGGGGGTTGGATGGGGCAGGAGTCCCAGGGGGGCGGGCCACTACCCCCTCGTGGGGTGAGGAGGGAACCGGTTGTTCAGATTTTGGCAGCTCATCACTGAGCGTATCCCTCTCCAACCCAGCAGAGGCAGCTAGACCTCTGGCTCCTCCGCTGAGAGCGGCATTACAGGACTCCCAAAGCTCGAATCTGACTCCCAGCGCTCCCCCATACCTGAGACCAGGCTCTGGCAGCCTAATAAACTGCACCAGAGAGACACCTGAAGCTACAAACCACAATTAAACAACACCAATGCTAGCAGACATGAAAAGTACCTTAAACAAAGGCTAGTGCAAGACAATCCCGAGCCAGGAGGGGTCGGGCAGTGGAAAGGAATTGATGTGTTTGGGAACCACGCACCCTTTATAGGCATGCAGAGCTCATCGCTCCACTGGTCACTGCTAGCAACCAGGTCACAGACTGCAGCCAACGGCAGAAAGCATCTGTGAGGGGAAGTTCTCAAAGAACCACATAATTAGATGACTATTAAAAAACCCACAAGTGCTCTCAATGTTATTTGCAAGCAACTTTTCGCAAGGGCAAGAGCTCTGATCCTTTTACAGCTAACTCTGCCTTTGGATATAGCCATAAAGCATTAGAAACAGACTGTGTAGACGCTGTGTGTAGCTGCAGACAGACACACTACGCATATCACACTAGAAATTCCGTTTGAATATTCTTTGACCTCTAACCGTTCCCTCTCCCCACCAGTCAGCTTTCTTGATTCCTTTTAAATTTGCCAACACACAGCAGGAGTTTACCAGGGAAATTATCACCAGAGACCACTCAATGAACTAGAAAACTCAACAGGATGGGACACTAAGCATAGAGAGTCTCCGCTTTGTAAATTAACACAAATATCAGTGTATCTGTTTAATTCAATGCAATTTCTTTTGACAGCTCTGATGTCAAGTTTAGATTCAAACTCAAATCAAAGAACTGCCTAAAGCTCCTGGGTCTCTCATACTAGCGTGTTCGGGAGAGCTTGGCTTTCCAGGTTTATCAGCGCTCCCCTTTCTTTGGGTGCATTATGTGTAACTTTGAATCTAATAGCGTCTTTCCCTCTCCCCACAACTCCGGGTTGAGCTTTAACTGAATTTGCGTCGTTGGGGCTTAGAAGCATTGGATTATCTCCGCTGACAGCCATGCAGCTGATCAGGAGAAAAATAACACCTCCCAAAGTGCTCCTTTCACAGGTTTGTTTTCTCGGCCTGCCACGCTCCAAGCCTCCAAGAACACCACCTCGCCTGAGTTGCAAAGCGAAGTGACAGAAATGCCTCACCTGTCTGCAATGGGGGGCATTTAACAAGATGTTAAACACGATTTTCCCTTGGGGTGGACAAGTCCTGGGGTGTTACAAATAGGTTAGTGGGCAGTGGGTTGGAACAATTTTTACAGAGAGGGGCTGAGAGCCACTGAACAAACCTGTAAACCCTGGATAGGACGGCAACCACTTCAAGCCACAGGGTGCGGCAGCCACCCTGGTTCCAGCCCCCTTGCAAGCGGTGATTGTTAACCATGACTAAACTTAACCTAAGAGCGTTTTAAACACAGCTACCTCAAGCTAACCTGTGTTTAAACACCACTTGCCCCACCTACAGGAGCTGCTAAAATGGGCTTAACGTGGTGGGGGCTGGTTAAACCTGGTCTGTCAACAACCCTGCCCCGGGGGAGCAAATGCCCAGCCAGGCAGAAGGGCCTGCAGGCTTCAGACCAGAAGCCGGTTAGTCTGTTTCAGCAAAAACAAGGAGGCGTCCTTGTAGCACCTTAGAGAGGAACAAACATTTATCTGAGCATAAGCTTTGGCGGGCTAAAACCCAGCCCTGGAGGGAATTTTAGCCCACCCAAGCTTGTGCCCAAATAAAGGTGTGAGTCTCCAAGGCGCCACAAGGGCTCCTCGTCGCTTTGGCCAGCAGGGAGCGACTCCCCGACGTGGGGAAGTGCGAAGGGGCCGGGGAGCTCGGAGAAAGCCGCCCCCTCCCCGAAGCGCAGCGCGGGCGGCCCGGCCGGGCAGGGGGCGCTCACCGGGCGTCGTCGGCGGCGGGGCGGTCGCAGCGGGCGCCCGGGCCGGGCCGGCAGGCGGTGAGCAGCAGCAGGTCGCGGCCGTTGTGCAGGTGGCGCAGGGCGGCGCGGGTCTCGGCGCCGAGGCCGCTCGGGGAGCGCTGGCCCTCGAAGACCAGCAGGTAGCGGCGGGGCGCGGGGAAGGGGCCGGCCCGGGCGCCGCCCCGCTGCGGGAGCCGGCGGGGGAAGAGCGGCAGCGAGACGTCGAAGCGGGGCCGGAAGCCGGGCGCCCCCGGGCCGGCCTGGGCCAGCAGCGCCTGGCCCGGCTCGAAGCCCAGCGGCCCGTCGCGGTGGAGGCTGAAGAGCAGGTGGTTGCGGCCGCCGTTCCAGTGGGGCGGGCGGGCCGGGGCGTCGGGGCTCCGCCGGCCGCGCTCCAGCGGCAGCACCAAGAGGCAGGCGCGGCCGGGCTCGGGCGTGTAGAAGCGGGAGCCCCGCAGGCTGCGCAGCACCCGGCGCTGGGGCTCCGAGAGGCGGCCCCGGGCCGGGTAGACGTAGACGCGGAAGCCGTGGCGCCGGCAGCGGCTGAAGTCGAAGCAGGTCTCCATGCGGCAGCGCCCGCCCGCCGGCCCCGCGCCGCCCCGCGCCCGCCGCTCGCCGCCCGCCTCCGCCGGCCCCGCCGCCAGGGCGCTGCCCCGGCGCGGCTCCGGCGGGGAGGCGGCTGCCGCCCGCCGGCGCCCCGGCCGCAGGTAGAGCCCCGCCAGCAGGCAGGCGGCCAGCCCCGCCAGCAGGTACCGGCCCCTGGCCTGCATGGGGCCGCCGCCGCCGCTCCCGGCCGGGCTGGCTCAGCGACGCGCCCCTGCGGGGAGCCGGGTCCCCTGCGCCGCCCGGCTCATCGCCCCGGAGCGGGGGGTCCCGCTGCCCCGGCTCCGCGTCCGGCCCCGCGTCCGTGCCGGAGAGGAGTGAGCCCTGCCCCCGCCTCCCGCGGGGGGGTCCCGGGCGCCGGCGGCTCCTCCCTCCTGCCCGCGGCTGGATCCCGGCTGCACGGCGAGCCCACGGGAGTCGGGGCAGGGGGACCCGCCCGCCCCCTTGTCCGGGGGCCAGGCTCAGCCCGGGCACCGGGGGGTCCCCGCCCGCTGCCCGCACCGGTCTGGGGAGGAAGGGGCGTCAGTGGCCCCTCGGTCTGCCGGGGCCGGGAGCGGGATCCCAGAGCCACACAGCCTCTGGGGGTTTCTCTCCCAAGGGAGCCCTAGGCGGGCAGATCCTACCGGAGCCGCATTCACATCCCACAGCCTAGCTCGGGGGCAGGGGAGCCATCCTCCTCCCCCCACTAATCCCCCCTCTGCCCGTCTTCCTCCCCTCCCCCTTCTCTGCCCGTCCTCTTTTTTCTCCTCCCTCCCCGTCCCCCCGCTGTAAAACAAGGCTGACATTGGAGACTTTGGCTTCTAGAGGCAGCCTGGCTTCTTCCCCATCCCTGGAGGGACCATGGGGGGCTCTGTGCAGCATTGATCCTTCTATGGCCAAGAAAGGGGGTGGGAATCATAGAATATCAGGGTTGGAAGGGACCCCAGAAGGTCATCTAGTCCAACCCCCTGCTCGAAGCAGGACCAATTCCCAGTTAAATCATCCCAGCCAGGGCTTTGTCAAGCCTGACCTTAAAAACCTCTAAGGAAGGAGACTGCAGCTGGCCGGGGCACCTGGCAGTAGGTTCTGGCCGAGGCATTTGTCACGCTTTTCACTAGCAGGTGTGAACAGTACAGGTGTGGGGGGTGACAGTCAGCTTGCTCTTTGCTGGCGATTTCGTGAGCCTCAGTCTTGCCAGCTCCTGTGGTATTTGGTGTTCTTAAAGCCCCACTTCCTGCAGGCAAATGATTTCCTTAGGATCTCGGCTTTTGCTTTTTGTTTGTTTTAAGTTTTTAGCCTTGTGTTGTTGTAGCGAAAAGCCTGAAAATGCAAACTACTCCGAGGGCGCCGAAACCAGAAGTCAAAGAAAAAGAACCCAACAGCTGTTGTTTCTGGAAAATAATATCATGACTTAGACCAGTTGTGATTTTGGGGGGCCAGATTCTTCAAGGCATCTAAAGATGGTAGGTGTTGATCTCATGCTCTGTACGCCGGTCTCATGACTCTTTGAACCCGTGGGGTTGGCAGTGCTAACGGGCTGAGTGCTCTGTAGGAGAGCTGCACCTGTCTCTCATACATCCTCTGGATCCCCAGCTAGAGGGTGCTTGCCCTCCCCCCGGCTACACACGCTTCGCCAGTGGCTTTTATGACATTGCACCTGCATTTCCATTCCCTTTTGTTCAAGTTCTTGTACCATACCCACCCAGTTCCTTGGTTTCTGAGCTTCTCACCCGTGCACCCCGCCAGCACTCCAGGAGCAAGGACACAGCTGGTCCCTTTAATTTTTTGCTTGTTTAGTCAGGTTGCTGTTTTCGAGCAGGTGGAAAGAGCCAGTCGCTCTAGCTGAGAGACACTGTCTCTTCTTCAGCCCTCACAGAGGAATAATACTTATCGTCCCTTCGACGCTGAAAATATCTCAAAAATCACTCAAAGACTCTACTCTGTAAAAAGAAAGAATGCCAGCTGTCTGGTGGCCAATCACAGGGCTCCTTTCAGCTAATGACTGGCCAACGTGTGACATCTTCCAGTCATTAAACACCAATGGAGACTCAGTGGAGTGACAATTAATTGCCTCTCGTTATTCCCAGTACTGTTACAATTGTTATGTCTGAAGTAGAACGGTTCTGCTACCAGCAGCGCAAAGTGCAGCTCCGGTCACGTCTTTTGGACAGCGCGGCAGGAGAAGACAAACTGAGCCATGTCAGGAATTCAGGAGAGGGGACCCGTTTGATTCTGTGGTGGTGAAAATCACACTTGGACAGACACACGTTTTCACCACAGGCAATGTGAGATGAACACAGCTTTGGAGCAGGCCGGTGCTGGAAGGGTGCAGTGCAATGCAATCGGTCCTAAACATCGCCTGGATCGCGTGCCTAGAAGTGCTGGGTTAGTCCCTTTGTTCTGAGAAGGGAAAGCGCATCCTGCTGTTACTTCACTGCCATGGCCTGAGACAAGCCTGGTGGGTTTTGGTGGGTATTAGAAAAACGAATGCTGCTTTATTTAGCTTTTGTTTTTCATCTCCACCAAAATGCTTCTGGGGGAAGAGTGTCTGTGGGTCAAAATGAGCATCCTCAAGCATAAATCCATCTCCCCTGGATCCCTCCTTAAGTCAGAGCTCCTGTTTGTCACTGGGATCCTATGCTGCCACTGGAACTCTCCTGTCTCCCGTTTCCGTGAGAGCAAGCCCACCTCTGCAATGTCAGCTCTGCACACCACAGTCTTGTCTCCACCTCTCCTGTCAGGAAGTGCATTTTGAGACGTGAATGTAAGACAAGACTATGAACATGAAAATCCAGAGGCATTTAGGGGAAAAGGTGGCTTTCCAAATGGTTTTACTGTAACAATAATTGCAAAGTTTTCAGCTAAACAAAGAAAATACAGAACATTGAAGCAAGCATTCATTTAACCAATGAAGAGCCAACAGAGTAATTTAATAATGCTATGCCCTTCTCATCTAAGGATCTCAAAGGACCTTACCAACTTCCATGAAATAAACCTCCTGATGCCTATGAGATAGGTATTCCTACCTCATTTTTACAAATGCAGTAGGTAAATTGAGGCACGGGGGTGGGGAAAGTTAACCAATTCACTGACAGTGTCGCACATAACATCTGTGGAAGTTGCAAGACTAGAATCCAGATGTCCTGCCTCAAAGTCAGCTGCCTGTAACCATGGCAAAAATTCACTACTATGCACTGATCGCTAGGGAGACCCAGTGCAAATTGCTGAACCCTGCAAGTTCAAATGTGAAGTAAATTCAGGTAGCAATGAGAAGGCATGATATGTGCTCTGATCACTTAACTGGCAACCAATCTGGTATTTATTCTAATAATTCATAGCAAATTGTCTGTAAAAGTAATGAACGCTTTAGTGATATGAAACCTCACCTCCGCATTCTGCTATTAAGTCTTTTTCTGAGAAACAGGACTGCCTTGGGAAGGGGGATTAGTATTACCCAAGTGGCAAGGTCCTTCTACCCTTTTTTATTTGTTTTGATTGACAGTCCCTTTTAGCAAAGGCATTTCCTTTCTCAGTGGATCCCCAAAGCAGTATTTTAGTTATTTCAGTGGCAATGCATGGCTGTACAATGTAGATGAACCTTAAAGAAGGTGCATAGTTATATATAATTTCCGTGTTGTTGTTTAGACAATCATCTCACAACTAAAACACACTGTGTAATATTTGACTAAGAACTTGAATTGCCCATGCAAATATTTGACTGTCCTACAACAACATAATAAAAATACTTTTCTCTAGCAGTTTTTCCCCCCAATAAGCTTCGAGAGGCAGGTTGTAGGAAGGCAGCTATAAGCGAAGAGGAAACTTGAGGGCCTCCTAATAAGAAGTTTGAGTGGAATGGGAGCTAAAGGCTGGGTGGATAAACAGAGGTAAGTGGTTCCTTTTGAAGGAAAAAAGGACATTCTGAAAGTCCTTAGCAAAATCCTTTTAGCAGTTTCCTGTTCCTGATCTAGCAGACACTAACAGCTTCCGACACAGGAAGACACCCCCTCTAAGTAAGAAATAATAACAGAAGAAACCTTGGTCCAGTTTATGAACAAAGACAAAAAGGGCTACATGGGGGCAGAATGGAAACTCGTTTCCATTGCAGAAGGGCTCAGGCAATGGTGTAAATTGCTGAGAGAAATCAAGGGCGCCAGGCTGGATGGAGCAGGAAGGGTTAGAAGAGAGACCAGACAGGATAGATATGAAGGGGATGGGAAAACGTGGCTTTAAGGAAGACTAGAAGATGTAGGAAAAATACGGACTCCTAGCAGAGCCATTTGACCTACAACAGGACACGGTGGAAGAGAAAAGCCCTGCGAAGATCAGCAGCCCAACCATGAGCAAGGGGCAAGCACTGATGGGGAGCCACCAGAAAAAGCACGAGAAGGTTAGTGATGCTTCGTGCCATCTGCGTATGAGGAATCTGAGCTGAGATGTCCAATATTAATTCAATAAGCCTCAAGAATCGACACAGGAAAAGTCGGGAGGTAGGTACACTTTTGTTAGGCCCATGTTATGGATGAGTAAACTCATGCACTGATCAGCAACTTTTCCAAGTCATTGTGCTCTTGGGCAACTCATGATGGTGCTGTACCACGGGGGTTTCTCCAGTTAAAAGACAAGCCTTGCAGATAGGTTACCAAAAGGGAAATTCTGCCTGACAGCCCAACCAGCTCTGAGAATGAGAGCTGGTCCACTCCTTCGCTATGAATAATAATTGTTGTGGATTTTGGCACCTTTGGGTCAAATAATTATTTGGAAATAAAACTTCATTATTTGAGCAGCTGTGCCGAGAACAGCAGAAAGTGCACCGTGGCTACCCCTGCGGGCAGTCGTGGTGCGGAAAGTGTTAAACGGGGGTAACCCGTCCCAGCAGCCTGCTGGTGTTGGCGCACTGCATCCACTCACCACTTAATGCTTTTCTGCAGCCCTTCCTTTCCCTGGAGAGGGTTAGAGTGACGCAGCCTGATGTGAGGGCTCACACACCGTCGCACACTCCACAAACAAACAAGGTCAGCTCCCAGACTACTGCACTGGGCAGCACAGCATGGGGAGGAGGTGACCAGCCCTCTGTGGAGAACGAAGTGGTTCGCGACTATTTAGAAAAGCTGGACAAGCACATGTCCATGGGGCCGGATGCGTTGCATCTGAGAGTGCTAAAGGAGTTGGCGGATGTGATTGCAGA